ACTTCGTCGCGTTATGCTAACCCGTCACGCGACGCAGGTCTGGATGGGAACCGCCCTCGGCCTCACCCTCTGCATCATAGTCGCGGCCGCTATCATCGGTGTCTTCTACGGAGTCGGTCGAGACAGCTGGCAAGCGCACGAATACTACTACGAAGGCTCGTTTGCTCTTTTCGCGTCCATCATTATCACGCTCATGGGAGTTGCTCTCCTTCGAGTTGGCAAGCTGCAAGACAAATGGCGCGCCAAACTTGCCAAGGCCATGGAGCCCCAAGCAAAGACAACGACCTCGACGTTTGGCTCTCGATTCAAGAGGAACCAGGAGAAATACGTCATGTTCTTCCTACCCCTCATCACCATTTTGCGAGAGGGGATTGAGATGATCGTTTTCATCTTCGGCGTCACTTTCGCAGCACCTGCTACTGCCGTACCCCTCCCGGTCGTGGTTGGTTTGATCGTTGGTGTTCTCGCGAGCTACCTCCTCTACAAGTAAGAAATATTATCACACCAGAATGGTCGGCCAGATGGCTCTAACGCGAAATCTTCAGGAGTGGATCTACTTCCAAGATTCAAATCTTCCTCGTCGCCTCTACCTGCTTGCTCTACATTGTCGCTGCTGGTCTGTTTTCGCGCGCCGTGTGGTTCTTCGAAGCACAGGAATGGAACACAGCCGTCGGTGGTGATGCGGCTGAGGTTGGCGCAGGTCCTGGATCCTACGATATCGACAGAAGTGTTTGGCACGTTAACGTAAGTACCCAAACTCGCGCACTCGCGCTGAAATGGGACTTGTGATCGCGAGACTGACTTCTTGCAGTGCTGCAGCCCTCAGTTGAACGGTGGCGGTGGCTGGGGTCTCCTGAATGCCATTTTCGGCTGGAACAACTCTGCCACCTATGGATCTGTCATCTCGTATAATGTCTACTGGATCTTTGTCATTTGCTGGCTTGTGCTTCTGAGATTCCACGAAGTCAATGGTCACTGGCCCCTCATGAAGCCAAAGACTGCTGGCAAGGTCGAGTCCGCTGAGGAAATGCCAGGAACATCCACGCCTACTGAACACTCTGTCAACGAACCCAAGAAGGATATGTCAACCACTACAAGCGCACTGAAATAATTAGGCACGATGGCGGGCTCGGGGGTTATTTGGTTTGGAGATCTTTGTGCTGCCGGATCTCATCCATGGAGGGGACGAAAACTTTGGTGGAGGGCACACACACTCAAGACTTCGGTCCCTATACCAATACTCTGGATTTTTTGGTTCATTTACCTAGTAATTCGAATAAATATCTGAATAGTCATCAACCTTCTTGCTTCTTTCACTAGCCTCAAATCTTCGACGGCTTTCAGTCCAAGTCTACAGCATTAAACCATGTGGCGAACCCGCTCTTATGTTGGACAATATTTGTTTACTCAGTCTGCATCCTTTCCTTGGACGTGTCACTGGTTTAATTTCTAGCAGTTTCCTTAGAGGATATCCTTCAATGCCCTTCGTGGACCAGCCAAGCATTTGGACCCCGCTCCATGTTGTCCCATGAACACGCGAGCAATCGTACGGGGCCATGGTATGAAATGTTTTCTCATCGCATTACTCGGTGAGGAATACAGCCATACCTGCATGAGGCATAGGTTTAGATCTACTAGCCTCTACCTGGACCCAGCGGCCCACCATCTTTCGGATAGTAGTGTTCTACAAGATAGGAAGACTACAGCGTGTGACTAGGAGGATCCGCTGAGGGGAGCTGCAGAAATGCAGAAAAAGTAACTTCAGTGGGATATTTACCCAACCTCCACTAGCATCAGAAGACTTTTTGAGGCCGAAGCGATGCCATTCCACGGGTACGCAGAGACATTGCTTCATATCACACGCGACTGGGTGACGCGGGCTTCCTCCCGGGTGGGACTTTGACCAGAACGTGGCGTAGGCTGTAGCTATGATCCCTCGGCCTTCCGAGGTGTCAACTCGGCGATAGATACCAGGCCACTTCGAACTTAGTAAGCCATGCTCAACTCGGACCACTGGCATTTTCTTGGGGTTTCATTGCCTGTTCTGTAAACCATGACAAAGATACTTAGCAGACAATGTGCGAATAGGTCGGCGACAATATGGGCGATCAGTGTCCACAGTCGGGCACCTGGTCACTATCTTCCTAACATCTCCCCGCAAGCCAAGGCGGATGGTTTGCCGGGACTATGCGGCAGCCAGCCTTCTTGCTTTCACTACAGGTCTTCCCAAGAATCTGGTTACCAGAGTCCCCTGTAGAGTCCGTCTTTTTCATTACACCCCCACGATTGTCAGCAAATCCATCTATACTGGTATTGGCTTGGGAAAACTCCACCTAAATCGCACTTCTAACCCCTTGATCCTTACCGACTTTCACTGGGATTCAGGAGTCATGAGAGGGTCTTTGCAAGACCCCATGTCATCTCAAAAGAGACATCGATTCGAGGTCGAACCATTATAGTCACAACTTGGGAAAAGCGTCTACGGCTACTACGTTGTAAGTCCCCACGGTTTGATTTATTTTTGCCTACTCTCCATACTTGTTTCTAGAGGGTTTCTGGGGCGAACGACATGCCTTCTAACACCGAATATCCGCGTGTGCCCGGGTTAAGCCGTGTGGCCTCAGTTGAATTACACCGCACTGCTTTCCAGGTGGATTACACTTGAAGAGCCACCCACATTAGGTGGCAGGATTGCCGGGACGCGTGGTCATGTTAGCCATTAGCATGGCGAATTCTACGTATAGTCCGTTAACTCCATGGATGAGCACACTTTGCCTCGAGGTATCCACGAAGCCGCAGGCCTTATGTTTCTAGAATTCCGCCCTCCACCAACACTATTATCAACTTCACAGTAAGTAAGTCGACACCGAAAGATTCCTTGTGTACACGTGGGCTCGATCTCTCTTGTAATTGGTTCAACAGGAGGATTTAGTCGGCTTTTGAACGATCTTCTCGTGGGTCATTGTTTAGAAATCCAGAATAAGGGCCCAATCTTGTCCCACTGTGTAGACGTTTGTCTGTAATCGTTATCTTCAAGTACGCGGAATAGCCTATTTGCGTGTTGTACAAAAGTGATCCAAGAAAGGTTACCCGAGGCTCTTTATCTCATGCATCCAAAATGCGTTCCGCCCGGTTTCAACGAGACGCTGTGAGGTCACGGCGGACTACATTAACACCGTCTTTCTGAGAAAATGAGATATGAGCCTTTGTGACCTAGAACTAGCTAGAGCATGTTGAATTCTTGCAAGCGACTTTCACACATGGCGGGGACCTTGCCATTCTATCCCAAAATCTAAAGTTATTGCAACCGCCAATGTGAGGTAATGTCAGACATGATTAAGAAACATGGTTGCGACTAAAAGACAGGGCTCGGTCGTACGAGCTCAAAACTGCTCGGAGTTGCGATCTCGGAGTTATGGCCAAAAAAGCTTGTCAAGTGGTGCCCCCCCAAAAAGCCAAGTCGGACAGACCCGAAGCACCGGTTGGGGCTGAAGCCGGGATGGTTTTCTGATTAGCAGGACTAAAAAACATGGGCTGAAAAACTTTTATTCCCGATCCCACTTTGGCACGGCTGTTGAATGCTTTGTCGATTGGTTGAGTCGAATGGGTATCCGTAGCGTCTGTCCACAAGTTCGTGTCTGTCCACACCCCCAGATGCCTTTCTCAGACGTAGTTTCGAGTATCCACGTGGAGCGGAGAGCTGTACCCGCTTTTTAAAACTATGACAAGCAACTTCCACATTCATTCCTTCGCTCAACGATGATTCGTTCCTTTCTACGGTAAGTGTTTCCACGCCCAGAGTCCTGATACGCAACCGACACGGCTCCAAACGACCGTCGTTCATATTAGCCTTCTTTGACTACAGAGAAGTGTTCACGTCGGCTCTTGTTTGACGGGAATACATGATGTAGTTTAATTCCTTCACATGGCATCTACAATATTCCATGGTTTGGGAAATACTAGGATAGTGAAAAAGGTTGCTTTAGGCATCGTTTGTCGTGACAACCTGCCGAAATTAGGCTTTGGACCCTGCAATTAGTCTCCTCTGACGTACGAGGTCCCAAGCGGCCGCCCAACAGACTTTTTACTAGCCTGTTTTATCCGTCGCAATTCCTCCGATGAGCCCGGCAAAGTTAGGATCGTGTTTTTCTCAAGGACGGAATCAGAAAGATCTAACGAGCCCACAAGGCGAGATATCCTTCCGTGGTCCAGTCGACCAAGGTAAGAATCTTATCAAATCCACTAAAGCCGCTGGAACCTTGAGAATTGTAGGGGGCGTACGTGAAGAAAGCCTTCAAGTGGGTACCAGATGGCAATAGAATTCGTAAGCGTAGAGTCCTCAAACCTACCAACCTCACACATGGCAACTTGTTGGACATATTCGTGGGTCCTCATGGTCTCTTGGATACCCACTGGCACCTACCCGAAGATATCAAATCTCCTTTCTCGCGTCAAGAAGTCAATAAGTCACACAAGTCACTGGCAAGTAGATCGACATCGAAAGCGAGTCATTTCTTTTCAAGATACGATCCAGGCCAGAACCTAACCCGCCGGCGTGTGTGGCTCTAGCGCGAAAGATTATCTAGACATCTGATTAGATCCAATCAGGGCCATCGTGAAGCTAATGATTGACTTTTCCATGTCACATTCAGCCGTCCGATGTTCGCAGTCTCGCAAGCGATGCGGTATTTTCGGTGGAAACATGATACGAAAATGAGGTTCTCGACCAAGGAAGTTGTCCGTGATTGAAATCAGTGCATCCGATAGTGGAACAAGGGATGAACGTTCCGCACTTTGACCATTTTGCTGGAGCTAGATTGATACGTAGGCAGAGCTTTATTTTCTTATTTTCTTCATCGAGATCTGATATAAGTGTATGAGGAAACTCGCCAAATCCTCTTAAGGTGCGGTAGTTTGGTCCGAGAGAGAGTCTGCCACTTTTGCTCATATCAATATCGCTGTCGACTGGACGCTTTGTTCAACACTCAATGTTGGCAAACATGATCGAATCCCGTGCAGCCAAGCAACCGAAGCCGCCCAACGCACGACAGCTCTTGAATGAGTGGAATGTCAAGGTATATGCGGGAGTAGTGGCAGGTGTCATTGCGGCTCTTGTTATCTACCATTGGGCGCAATGGATCAAACGCAGAACATCAAAGTCAACAAGAACTGGCTCGTCATCGCCCCTTGCCAAGGCTTCTAGGTAGGACTATCGTCAGAAATCACTTGGCGCTCGATCAGCCCTAACAACCGGCAGGAAGATACGAAGCCTACTGGTTCGCAAGGTGCCGGGGTTTCCAACGGGAGGCCATGCCTTGCTGACTATTGCTTTCGTCGGCGTCAACATTGTCATGTCATTTCATCATGTTGACAAGGCAAAGATGAGCAATTTTGCTGCAAGATTTGGATGGTCAGACTTTAAGGGTCCCTTTGCCACCTTGTTGGGTGCTGACATTTCATGTACAGGATGTCGACGGCGAACATGGCGCTTTGTGTCTTCTTCGGTCTGAAAAATACCCCCCTCGGTGTCTTGACCGGACACTCCTACGAAAGACTCAACTTCTTCCACCGTCTAGCCGGGTACGCAGCCGTACTTCAGATGCTTCTTCACGCCATCTTCTATATGGTATACTACGGAATGCAGGACCGGTGGAGCACCCTGCTCGAAGTGCAAAATTGGGAGGGCATTGGCGCAGGCTTTGCCATGCTCCTCCTGCTCATGGGCTTGGCAAGAAATCTTGGCTACGAGTGGTTTTATGTGAGCCACCTGGTGGGATTCCTGCTGGCCGTTATTTTCACTGGGCTTCACAGGCCCTACTGGATATGGAAGATCCCTGCGGCAATGGTTTTCATCGCCGCAATTTGGGGACTTGACCGTCTGATTCGGGGGTCGAGAATGCTGTACAACCTTGTCAACAACAGCGCTACCATTTACCGGTTGCCAGACAATGGTGTTCGTCTGGTCATCAAGAAGCCTCTGTCGGGTGCTACTCCCGGCTCGCACTGCTTCGTTTGGATTCCCGGTGTTCGCCCATTCCAAACACACCCCTTTACCATCGTGTCCAATACCCCTCGCGGGGGGCTGGAGTTGGTCCTCAGCTCCTATGATGGTTTCACCAAGGCTTTGCATGATCTAGCTAATACCGAGGCTGGTACAACTGTGTGGGCTTCTGTTGACGGACCCTATGGAGCGTTCCCTAACCCGAAGAACTACGACAAGGTGGTCTTGATTGCCGGAGGCAGCGGGGCGACGTTTACCTTCGGCCTGGCAACCAGCCTCTTACAGCACTTGGAGTTTGAATCGCACAAACGTGTTGACTTTATCTGGGCCGTCAGAAAGAGGGGTTTGTCTAATTCAATCAACGACACGTGTGGAGTGAACGCTGACGTGTGTGACAGAAAATCTAGAATGGTTCACGGATCACCTTCAGTCACTGAGCCAACACGGCGCAGGGGTGAACGTGTTACTGCACGTTACCCGAGAGGGCTCCACGGCCTCCTTGAGCGAGTCGTCTGAAAATGTCTCGTCGCCCACTTCTCTGAAGTCACCGAACGAGAAGGTTGAAGCTCTTTTACCCGGGTCTGGCGCGGAGCAGAACAAGGAAGCTCTCCCTTCGGCTGCGGCAGTACCACAAGGAGATATATCGTTGGGTCTTGAGGGGCTGTGCGATATCAAGTTTGACAAGTTGCGGGCTGGGGAGGCCATCACTCAAACGCTGCAGTCAACTGCGCCTGGTCAACGGGTGTTGATTGCTGCTTGCGGCCCGCAGTCACTGACCGAGATTGTCCAGAACGCAGCTGCAAACTGTATCGCCACTGGCGACATAAGCATCGAAGTACACTGCGAGAACTTCGGATGGTAATCTTTAGGGTTCGAGTATTCACTTCGAGACCATGGCTTGAAAGAAAGCCGTGGAATTTCGTGACAACGGATGGCTTTTATGACTGGTCAAGAAACCAGCACGACAGGAGTGTTCATCACAGCGACTTCAGTATGATACAAGATGTTTCACTAGTCACTCATAGAGGTGACCATTAAATCCATGAACTTTTCGCCTGTAAGCCTCATCCTTAATCCCAGTGAGATTCACAGTTTTTCGGAACTGCACGATGTAAAGATCCGGGCATGGGATAGAAAACGGTATACCATGTTCCGGCATGGAGCACGTGGGCAATCTGACCAGCTTTGGGAACCTTATGAAATTATTGATGACCTCTAAAGTGGCAAAGAACGGCTTCCCATAATTCCATGGCTAGTTGATGCCCTAGCATGGGTCTAAATTTAGCTGGTGTGAGCGGAGAGCTCGGTCGTTGTGGCAGGATTGACAATCCAGACATGACAAGTGCCCCTCGCTCGGTCTCCGGGCATCTAGGAGCTAAATCCGAGCCCCTTGACAGCTTCGAGATTCCACATTCAAACGATCAGCGAGTACGAATACTCTTTAGGTCGAATATCTCAACAAATCAGCACCTGCCTGGGCAGATTCCTCGCAAGAGACCTTGAATTGTGACGTGTAACATGGTAGATACAAGCTATCAACGCTATGATTGACTCCCCAAGCAGGTATTCGCTTTTGGTCCCCTGACCATGAAATGAGAAGCCATATCTACTGTACATCAATGCGTGCTAGTCTGCACCACTACTTGTAATACAAATGTGATGATTGGTGGGTTCGGCTGAAGTCTTTTGGCCCGAATGTACTAAACGGGGAATGTATTTCAGCATACAGAATCTTGCCGAAGCTTGGTCGAACTGTGGCGATATCCTTGTTTGCCCACACCCGCCCAGAAAGCGGAATCTTCGCTTCGAGGGGCCCAAGCCCAGCCAGCGCCTCCACTAATAGGTAGATGATAGAAGCGGAACGCAACGTAAGATGAGGTAGCGCCGATAGCGAAAGCGAACAAAATGTCGAAACCGTGGTGTTGGAAGTCGTACCATCTGGAAGCGCAGATAAAGATACACAACGCGAATGGAACAAGGGTGAGGACCACAAGATAGATGGGTGGAGCTGCTGCTTGTCTTCGAAACGGCATGACCTGCTCAGGGAGCCTGCCCGCCTGGCCTTCTCCCGCCAAGCTCTCCCCATCGATGCGGGAAGGGAAAGCAGAGTGATGGGTAGGTCCCAGATGTACCCCCTGAGGTGCCCACGGCGCGGCTACCCCAAGTTTGCTCGCCAAGAAGAGCATGAGATAGATGAGTCCTGAAGCTGCGACGGATGAGTGTCCGGACGGAAAGCTGCGGAACCCCTCATCAATAACACTCTTGTCAGGGTTGGTGCAGATGTCGGCCGATACGAGCTGTCCCATTGCGACGGTGGTGGTGTTTGATATGCCACCAACAATGTACCGGGCCAGATTGTCGAGATCGGGCTGGCAGCGGGCCAATGCATTCGGTCGAGGTTTCCCGAGTAGGTTCTTTGTTGTGCTCACGATGAACCAGGTCGTCACGACCGAGAGGATGAGTCCCAGCCATCCTGCGTGCACCTCCCAAATCTTCCTACTCCAGACAAGGGACCTTGGAGTATCTCTGGGAACTGTTCCCCCGGGTACGAATAGTATGACTACTCCAAAGATCACCACTATTGGTAATGCGACGCTCAGGAGCAGTAGATTCGTCACAGAAACGGTATCGCTGTGAAGCGGAAAGCTGATATCTGGGTTCTCCAGGTTAAAAGGCCGTTTTTGTGGCGACAGATTGCCAAGCAGCAGGCCTGCCACGGCAAATGCGATGAGTAAAACCCAATCGATGGCATAGGATAGAATCAAGATAAAATTCCCCATTGTCTGGCGTTTGCGATGTGTGCCGCTGGGATCCGAAATCGATGAATAAGGTCGACGGGATTCGAAGGGACCACGATTCTGGAGGTCCTCGAGGGGAATATCGAGCATTCTGTTGTCCAAGCCGAAACGCAATGAGCTGAATATTGTTCAAATTCATAAACTTGAAAGCGGGATTCAACATCTATATTTATGTGCAGCTCACAATGGCTGCGTTCGAATGTGACTTGGACCTGGATGCAGGGACAGCGCCTCTTCCCTAGACTCGCCCGGTTGAGTCGCCGTCTCATTCCCCGCCACATGACAGGCGCACTCTACTCCAACCTCACATACGCGTAGCTTAGCAAGCCAAAAACGGCCTAATACTAGACCGCACCCATTGAGGCTGTGTTTTGCTCTGGACAAGGTCTTAATTTTGTATCAGTTGGGGAAAGGGGCTACAAGAGCGGCACAGATCGTCGGGGCCTAAAAATGGCCAGTGACCTCCTCCGTACTGGACGGACCTCTCATCTCCCCGACAGCGAGAGTTTTGACTTGACTACCGATACTTTATTTGTCTGTCAAATTTGGTTCAGAAGCCTGTACCGCCAACTTATACTTTTACTCCCTTCAACAACACCTACCAGACACTTCCTGGAATCGAAGCTTGCTTTGAATGATACCCACATAACCAATGCTAATCTGCTGACGCGTTCCATAAGCCACTTGCCATTGGAGAATTCCAAGTTGTAGATGCCTGGATGGATAACTCATACCTTGATCGGTGGACATCATCCCGTGAATATTGAAGATTCACGTTGCCTCAAATGTCCCTGAAGTCATATCAACGACCGTAGAGGCTTCGCATAGAGCACTCGAGAGTCCAGACCTTTTGCAGCCCCAACGCCTCTCTCGTGTCGACAGAAGGTCCGCATAAGACGGCGGCGGTTACACCTGGCGCGTACGGTATTAGAAGCGAGGCAGCGTAACACAGCCCCTGACATAGATGATGACTCGGTATGTAGGAAAGTTGCTATCCTGCCACTCTAGGCTCAAGTCTCACAGGGTGGGCAGTGATGGGCTGGCGGGTGGCGCTTTCTCCTCGTATCGAACGCTGCGATGAATGATGCTTCTTTGAAGTGTCTCGCAGTCTCAGGGGCTCACACTGTCCTAGCTTTCTTTCCGGCACGGGGCTTCAATGGAGCTAGAGAAATACTATATCCGTCAAAAATCAGCTTTCGGAAAGATTGAGAACAAACTCTCAAAGTCTCTGCCTTAACCATTGTGCAAGAACTTGGTCAAGTTCTGGTAACGTCTTGAAGAGTTACTGTGTACATGTGCTTCCGGGGACTTGTCAGTAAGCAATATATCGTGGTCTAGGTTTCCAACGGAAAAGAAGATTCCTAAGACAAGGAGTGTGGAAATACCTAGTTCGATGTTGCGGGTGGCTGTCTGGGGCGTGTGGGCACATTGCGTTGAGAAGGGTAGCACGTGGTCAGAGAACCAACCACCTCTTGGCAGGGCAGTCCCGCTTCCAGATCTTTCAACTGCTGCAAGTCCTCAGATCATTCTATCTTTTGAAACTGCTTGGAATCTCAAAGCAGGATCTAGATACTCGCTGCTATTTTGCCAAAATCATGATTTTCCGGAAAAGAAAAGCCTACATCCATTTTTCCTTACAGGTACCTTAGCCAGGACGGTGAGTCCATCTCCTTTTGCCGCCATCCCCGACGTCATCAAACATCCACATGCTCCCAAGCAGAGATTCATTGTGATGAACGTTCAGATCTCACTGAGCTATGTTTCCAATTGCACTGTTGATAGCGATCTATTGCATGTTGCCATCTGAGGCTCTTTGGCTAACTCACATCAGTGTGGTAGCAGACTTTGCCATTGACAAGATCAAACAGACACCATCCCATGCCTTCGCTGCGCGACCGCTCGTTTCTATTTGACAGCCTGCCTTTGATCTCAATCGTTTGAAAAGTCCTCCGAGCCGATTATCGAACATCGAACAGGGAATATTCAAGTATCCTACGACACCCGTCACGTCAAAACAAAGCATTGTCAGCTATGGCATCATCGTACGATTCTTTTTCCTTTCCCATTCCAAAGGATGCTCCAGCCAAATTCGGCTACGGGTCTTTTGCGAATGAAAGGGATGGATACTATGAAGGAGAAGTAAAGGACTGCACTGTTGCTGAAATAGTTGGATCGAAGCTGCTGGATTGCCATTCTTCACGAAGAGCGACAACAGAACTTCAGGTTAATGGTGGAACACCATCGTATTCGCACATCATGCCCTTGAACGAAAGCAATATCTCAGGAGGCTCAACAAAATCTCGTGGACCTTTGAGTGAATTTGAGCAGCTATTGCAGCTTGGCCTGGGCTATCCGTCCAAGCATGATTGGCTCCATGGAGCATTTTGGCCGACTTCAGGCTCCAAACCCAATTGCCGAAGGCAAGGGAACTTTCGATACTTCGCTGATCAAGTGACAGATAGCTATGAATCTGGATACGATTCCGGCTATTATTTCCCTGAGAGACGGGTGCCATAGCACAGCATCATCCAACGTTTTTCTTTCCTTGTTTACTGGCAATTGTTTCTTTGCTTTCTTCTTTCCTTCTTCCTTCATCATCGAAAGTTCAATGATCCCAATGACATCCAGCCGCGGCTCAGTAAATGTCTTCATCCTACCTGATGCTGCGAGGCCTTCAGGATTATGGCGTACTTGACTCGATGTTTCTAGTACTCTTCTCTTTTTTGTTTCATCAATTGGACACCCATCGTGGAAGACCTTTTGCCAGATCTGGCTGCGAATCTTTATCGAGTGCCTAGGGGGCTGGTCACATTGTGATTTATTCGATTTGAGAGTGCACCAGAAAATGGATGTCCTGGGCTTTATCCCTTGGATTCAGCTCGCTAGATCGAGTAAAAACACGTTCAGCACAACCTTGTCGATGACAAGTGCGTGATTGAAAACATACTCTCTTCGCTTACAAAATGGCAATTTTTCCAGAAAATGTCGCAATATCAATCATTTGATTTTGTTGTTGGAGTTGTAGGAACTATCCCTTTCGTCTTATTACTAAGAAGTAGTCAGT